AAAAAAAAAAAAAAAAAAAAAACCAGCCTGTTGGAAACCTTGTAGAACATGTGATCCAAGAGTTGCCAGCTGTGATTTCCGCTCTATTGGCCCCAAGAAGTTCAGAGTTCAGGTTTAGTCTGCATGAGGCCATAGCTTGCCAGCCAATGTCTGCCTAAGAACACACCGTGGGAGAGCCAGAAGTCAGCCTAATCTTTCTCCTAGTGGGCAAAAGCAGAAGACGCAGTTTAATATGTCTCTTGGTTGGTTGAATTCTAAACTATGTGCTGTGAATGACTGACTACATCACTTTGCCCCTCCCCTGGTTCTGGGAGTAGTGAACACCTGTCATAGCTACAGACAGTACTTCTTCTTTCTCTCTTGTTTTTTATCATGCTGCGTAACCTTGAGCAAGTTATTTAATCTCCATTTTCTTGTGATAACTGGAGAGTATTCATGTCTCAACCTGAGACATGGTGTTTTCAAAAGTTATTACTTCGTTATTTATTATTGCTAATGTTTATAAAGCGCCTCACACACTGCTGGGTTACATAGCAGGTGTTCAAGGAGTGTTAACTGTCGTCATGTTAGGCTGTCTAACTACATGGCATTCTCTGTTTTTTCCCCATACCAGTAAATACACCAGTAAATACAGCAGAGGATTGCCTCTGAAGACAATATGGTATGCATGGAGAACAGACAGGGTGGATGGTGAATCCCTAGACCTGGGTTCTAATTTACCCTCTGACAATAGTAGGCTCTGTGGTTTTAGAAAGGTCACTTGAAACATCTGAGCCTTAGTGTGTTTATCTGTGAAATGGTCAGTGGTGGGGGGGTTGGTCATAATAGAGGTATCCAAAGATTTAAGATTTTAAATATTGTGATCCCCTCCCTCTTTCTCTGAGGATTGTGGTATATTCTTGGAGGATTAACATATCTTGTGTAGGAGTTGGAAAATCAACTTTCAACTTTCCCATCTTTCCAGTTCCTGCTTTCCAACTCCCTCCTGCACAGAGTGCCAAAAGTACTTTAGGCTGAAAGACTAATCCATCGAGGAATGCTATTGAATGTGAGTTCCCTTTTCCCTTTTCTGGAGTCGTTGGAGTTTGGGGGCCATAGGGTGACAGGGTCATTTGGAGCACAGCAATTGGTTACCTGAAGGGGCCAGAACAAATGACTGCTGAGCGCCACCCCACCCCCAATTCCTGATCTCACCACAGCCACTCATAGAGCCAGATCTTCAGCTCTGCAACTCCAGGCAACTCTGCCTCAGGACAAGGATTGCTTTTCCAGGTAGGTGTCTGCCCCTAGCAGGATGCGACCACTCTCTCTGGCTGGTGCCTTTGCCTCTCAGCTCCTTGGCTGGGTTGCTTCTCTCCAGAATGGAGAATCATAACTCTGAAACCCTGACCCTAGCATGGTGCCCTCTCACCTTTCCCCTCTCACTTTTGAATCCAACAACTCTTCCTGCGTCTGCTTTTGGCTATGGTGTGGCAAGTAGAGGGGTTGAGAGGCGGGTGGCAGCACTTATTTAGTGATGTTGGGGAAAACCTAGTGGTTGGCCTGGGGCTGCCACAGAGGCAGTCTTACCGATGATCAGTTAGGAGGATGACACTGGAGATCATGGGTAGCAAGGGCTGAGGCCAGGGGCAGTAGGGGAAGCCCTGCTGCCATTAGTCTCCATGTTGTCTTTCCTGCTGGGCTGTGGCGCCAGGCTGGGCTCTGCTGGCTTAGTATGTTGTAGTGACTAGGTCTGTGCCTTCAAGTGGGGCCAGGAAATTCTGCAAAGAAACTTAGGCTAGAGTTTATTTTTCTTTTGCTACTTGGGTGGAGACCTAAGAAGTTTCTTGAATTTCACAGCTCTTGCATACCCAAAGGTCCTGGCCAAGTTCTGTTGTCTCTTGGCTATGTCACTCTGCTGCTTCCCCCTCACTTACCTCCCCTACCAAACCCATATCAGGGACTCCAGACCCTGAAAGGCTACCGCTATGCTGGCTGGTCCACTTCTGGTGGGCGTGGGATATACAAGGCCCAAGGGTGAATGGCTACCAAGGCAAAATAGGCCTTACTAAGAGCTAATTCCTTTGCAGCTCACCCTGAACAGTATCATTCCGTGGAGGAAGACTGTGAGACCTTGGCTGGAAGCCAGGTTGTAGCCACACATCCGCCCCTGCCCTAGCCCAGAGCCCTGGAGCGTCAGCTGGCTGCAGATCACAGATACAGTGAGGATATGAGTGTAGGGCTGGGCATCTCAGCCCCTCTTACCCCAACCTCAGACACAAGCATGGGCACGTCCACCTTCTCCCTTGCGGACTATGTGGTGTTCATCCTGCTGCTGGTTTTCTCTCTTGCCATTGGGCTCTACCATGCTTTTCGTGGCTGGGGCCGGCATACTGTCGGTGAGCTGCTGATGGCGGACCGCAAAATGGACTGCTTTCCGGTGGCACTGTCCCTGCTGGCCACCTTCCAGTCAGCTGTGGCCATCCTGGGTGTGCCATCTGAGATCTACCGATTTGGAACACAGTATTGGTTCCTGGGCTGCTGCTACTTCCTGGGGCTGCTGATACCTGCACACATCTTCATCCCCGTTTTCTACCGCCTGCACCTCACCAGTGCATATGAGGTGAGCAGGGACAGAAGGAAAAAGCACATGGGACCACTGGGGTTGGGGTGGAGAGGATAGACAGGCACATCTGAAGGACCTGGGACTCTGGACCTTCTCCACCTAATGAGAATGACAGAAAATTCATTGTGTGTTTTTAGTTCTTTGATGTCGGGAGTGGGAGCAGGGTTGTAGAGGGTGCATGCCAAGTGGGACTCAGAGAGGGTATGGGTTGGATATTCCCTCGTGCTCCTGAGCATCTTGAGGGAAGTTTTGTGTGAGTTGTGGGGGTGAAGTCAGGAGGAAAACCTTTTTTCTGTATACCCAGTACCTGGAGCTTCGATTCAATAAAACTGTGCGAGTATGTGGAACTATGACCTTCATCTTTCAGATGGTAAGTAGAATGAGGATAGAAACCAAGCCTGGGGCATGTTGGGGGACCTGAACTCAAGTGTGCTGAGGGAATTCAAGTCTCCCCTTCTGTGAGACTGGCAGGATTGAAATTCCTGCTAGAGGTTAGCATCTGTAAAGCCCCTGGAGGCCTATTCCTTCTAATTCCAGCACAGGTACTATGGTGGCAGCAAGCCAGAATTTGGGAGGAGGAGGAAGAGGGAAGGGAGCCTAGGTGAGAGGAAGCCATGAGTATATTGGTGCTAAGGCCCATCTTTCTTCCTCTCTCTTCCCACCCTCCCCCTTTCCCCCCTCACATTTTTTCCACATCCAACAGGTAATCTACATGGGGGTTGTGCTCTATGCTCCATCCCTGGCTCTTAATGCAGGTGAGGAGTCACACAGCCATGGGAGGCTAGGAAGGCACATTTGGGAGGGGCAGATGGAGAAGAGTGTGTGGAAAAGAACCTGACCTTGGACAGGGAATTAATTTACATGTACTGCTTAAGCCTTTGGGTGGGTCTCTACCAGAGGGAGGCTTGGTCCACCTCACTTGAAGGCTGGTGACATGTTACCATACCTCATCTGAACTGGTTAAGCAATACCTTTTGGTGGAGCTCTGCAAACTTTTTTTTCCCATTGTGGTGAATGATTTATTTCATTGTTGATCACCAAATGCTTTATCTCTGTGGCATGACATGATTGCCCCACCAAGGCTTCTAAGCTCATGTGGCTTATGTGCTTACAGTGACTGGCTTTGATCTGTGGCTGTCAGTACTGACCCTAGGCATTGTCTGTACCATCTATACTTCTCTGGTAAGTGCAGCAAGTCCTGGTGGGGGGGAGGGGAAGGGATGAAGTAAAGAGGGGAGATGGGAAGAGAAGGAAGAGAAGAGATAAGCTGAGAATATAGGTAAGGAGAATACAGGTGAAATTCTAGGGTGGGATGAGGTAAGATTTATGATAGGATTTAGCAGTGGGTATGGCATATGAAGGTAGAGGATGGGATGGGAATGATGTCAACAGAGTCACAGCAATTATATGCCTAACGGAGGAGAGTCCCCTCATTGGTAGTATGTCTTTAGGGTGGATGGTTACAGGAGTGTCCAAGAGAGAGAATATAGTCATGGGTTTTTAGTTTCTGTTTCTGGTTGGGTCAGTAAAGCCCCTTCCTCATTTCTCTTTTATACTTATCACTAGAGACAGAAAATAAAAACTGGCTTCAGGCTGCAAAAAAGCCTAAAACAAAACAGAACAACAAAATAAGGCAGGTTGGACAAGCTGCGTTTGGAAGGCCTCTGTGGTAGGTTTGCTGTGCTTTCCTTGCAGGGTGGACTGAAGGCTGTTATCTGGACAGATGTGTTCCAGACACTGGTCATGTTCTTTGGGCAGCTGGCAGTTATCATTGTGGGGTCGGCCAAGGTGGGCGGCCTCGGGCATGTGTGGGCTGTAGCTTCTCAGCACGGCCGCATCTCTGGGATCGAGTAAGTATGCCCCTACCCCTGGCTGGGGTCTGCAGTTGCCTGGGTGCTGAGCCCATCTTAGAGGCTGGTCTTAGGGCTCTAGTAAGCAGAGGGCATATTGGGAAGCCTGAGGTGTAGCAGCAGACAGCGGGAAACTGGCCCGGCAGAAATGGAGGGTGATTACGGTGCCCGGCTAGTATTTATGGAGGGTCAGGACATTACCTGGGATCAGTACTTGAAATGAGGCTGTGGTGGAAGAGTGGAGCCTCCCTCTAACTGGCTGCGGTGTCTCTCGAGTGCATCCAGCTTCTTGCCTTCAGTCACTCCCTTGGCCCTAGCAGTGGTATCTCTCCATTCCTCTCCACTGACTCCTGTTACCAAGAGGGCAGGAAGGCTGTGTCTCTGGGGCTTTGCACAATGACTGGGTGATGTCTGTTACAGGCTGGATCCGGACCCCTTTGTGCGGCACACCTTCTGGACCTTGGCCTTTGGGGGTGTCTTCATGATGCTCTCCTTGTATGGGGTGAACCAGGCTCAGGTACAGCGGTACCTCAGTTCACGCACGGAGAAGGCTGCTGTGCTGTGAGTGCAGGGCCAGGAAGAGAGTGGAGCAAGGTCTGGGGGAAGGGGTTCCCTAGAGATAATTGGGGTGGGGCAGGATGCCAGAGTGCATACACATCCACTGGGGTGGGTCACCTGAGGTCAGGGGCACATGCCTGAGGGTGCCTGTTAATGTAGGCTCTCCTCTTGGCATTGCAGCTCCTGTTACGCAGTGTTCCCCTGCCAGCAGGTGGCCCTCTGCATGGGCTGCCTTATTGGCCTGGTCATGTTCGTGTATTACCAGGAGCATCCCATGAGCATTCAGCAGGCTCAGGCAGCCCCAGACCAGGTGAGAAGGCCCTCTCCTGTTCCTGTGAGGGCAGGCCTGGCCCCTCACTAGGAGTGTCTAGGTAGGAAAGGACTGACCTGCAGAAAGGACTCCCACCCTGGGTGGGAGATGGTTGTAAAGTCCTTTCCCACTCTGAGATGGTAGTAGTCTAACTTGGGAGGATCCCAGCCTGTGGGCAAATTGTCATTCCCTCTGCAGAGCCCATTTTCTCTCCTCTTAATGTGCAGTCACTTGGATCAGCAGAAACGGCTGGGCCCTGGTTTCCCTTCTAACACACCCAGTCGCAGTACACTTGCTGGGGCATGTGCAAAGGGAGCTTCCCTACAGAGCCACCCTGGGAAGGCCCCTCTCTGAGGACAGCTCTGTACCTCCCGCTCTGCTTGCAGTTCGTCCTGTACTTTGTGATGGATCTCCTGAAGGGCCTGCCTGGCCTGCCGGGGCTCTTTGTTGCCTGCCTCTTCAGCGGCTCCCTCAGGTACTCCCTTTGACCATCTCACTCAGGCCTGAGTCACCTGACCCCCATTTGGTACAAGGTGATGAGTGAAGTGGGGTGGCGAGGGGAGGGGGAGGGGAATCCCTCTGAGTTTCTTACTGTGCCTATCCCATCTGTGTGGGTAACAAGGATTAGCTCATCTCTGTAGGCCAGAGCACATTTTCTCTCAAGAGATACCCCTGTTTTGGTTAAGAGCTCTTTTATGGTACCATAAATTGATCTACTTGAATGAAACCCATATCCACATTCAGAAAAGAACTGTGTCCTTGCCTTCCAGGGCTGATCTGAGGTGGCATTAGGTCCAACTATGAGGAGGTTTCCCGGTGGTACGTGCCATCTCCCCGCTTTAGGGCACCATTTCCTCCATAGAGTTCCATAGGGCTGATAGTTCTGCCTTGCTCAACTGCTCATCCCCTTATTCCTCTTTTTCAGCACTATATCCTCTGCTTTTAATTCTTTGGCAACTGTGACAATGGAAGACCTGATTCGACCCTGGTTCCCTGAGTTTGCTGAAGCCCGGCCCATCATGCTTTCCAGAGGCCTTGGTGGGGTCATGCTTCCTTATTTTTTCAGCCTGGGTCTTTCTAAGCTACACCCTGACCACTGTCATCAATCTGCTGTAAAACACCCACTTTATCCAGGGCTCAGCACTTGCCTAATGAAGCACACAACCTTCCCTACGTGCATGGTTGTTTACATCTCAGGGCATGGTCTAGGAAGGTCTCTGAGTCACATAGGAATGAGGACTTGGTGGGAGGAAGCTGGAGCATGATGTAATATGCCTTTGTTTTCAGGGAGACAGAGGTGGTAGTTTGGCTGAGCAGGGAGCCTTGCTTTACCCCATTGCTTGTATTAACCCACATCTTCTTGTTTTCTCTCCTCTCCTTTTTCCCCAGCCTTTGGCTATGGGCTACTTTGTCTGGGAATGGTCTATATTTCCTCCCAGATGGGACCTGTGCTGCAGGTAATAACTATAGAGGGTAGAAAGCAGTTTTAAGGGAGAGAAAGAATAGATTGAAACAGGAAGTTGAGAAAGTCAACTATATTAAGGGGAGTGACCAGGGGGCAGGTGTAAAAGATTCCCCTTTGATGGACCACCTTTACTGTGAACAGACTTTCAAGCAGCCAGAGGCCCCAGGGTCATTCCTGGGATGTTGTAGGCTCAGAGAGCTAAGGATCAGCCTCAGAGGAGAACCCAAAGCACATCTCTCTCCCCATCAGCCCTTCAGCGGCCATTCCTGCCCTCTGGAGTTCTTTTTTTGAGACGGAGTCTCGTTCTGTTGCCCAGGCTGCAGTGCAGTGGCATGGTCTCGGCTCACTGCAACCTCCACTCCCGGATTCTAGTGATTCTCCTGTTTCACCCTCCTGAGTAGCTGGGATTACAGGCATACACCACCATACAGGCTAATTTTTGTATTTTTAGCAGAGACGGGGTTTTACCATGTTGGCCAGGCTGGTCTCGAACTCCTGACCTCAGGTGATCCACCCGCCTTGGCCTCCCAAAGTGTTAGGATTACAGACCTAAGCCACGGTGCCCGGCCACTTCTGGATTTCTGATTGTCCCCATAAAAGAGACAGATCTGACAAGTGGGGCTCTGAGGCCATGGTGGGTGGCTGTGCCCTATGGTAAGGCTGGGCATCTCTGAGTCTGTGTTCTTTTTTCTTCTCTCCCTGTCCTCCTAGGCAGCAATAAGCATCTTTGGCATGATTGGAGGGCCACTGCTGGGACTCTTCTGCCTTGGGATGTTCTTTCCTTGTGCCAACCCTCCTGTGAGTGATGCATCTGGATCCACAGTCATGTGCAGTGGGATGGGCCTGGGGGACAGGTTGGCAGGGCTGTCACCTGTCCCAGTGGAGAGCTGGGAACTGCTGTGAGGGCTGGCCTTGTGACAGGTGTGCACTGTGTCTCGGCAGGGTGCTGTTGTGGGCCTGTTGGCTGGACTTGTCATGGCCTTCTGGATTGGCATCGGGAGCATCGTGATCAGCATGGGCTCCCACATATCACTCCCTCCCACTAATGGGTCTAGCTTCTCCCTGCCCAGCAATCTAACCGTTGCCACTGTGACCACACTGATGCCCTCGACTACCCTCTCCAAGTAAGGCGGGGCTTGCTGTCTTTCTCCTTGTTTTCTCAAAGCCCTCCTTTGAGGGCTTTCACAGGGGTCTTGCTAAGGGATAGGCCACCAGAGGCCCCAGGGAAATGTTGGGTATTGGGTCCCAAGACCCTGGGACCATGCGGGCGAGTGGAGACTGGTGCCCAAGGAATGCTCTGCCAACAAATTGCTGATTATCCTCCCCTCTGCTCTTCTCAGGCCCACAGGGCTGCGGCGGCTCTATTCCCTGTCCTACCTGTGGTACAGCGCTCACAACTCCACCACAGTCATTGTGGTGGGCCTGATTGTCAGTCTGCTCACCGGTGAGGGTGTGGGATTGCAGTGCAGATGAGCACCGAGGGTCTATGGGAGAGCCCTAGGGGACTCTACCCTCTGGGGAGAAAGGCTCCTGCCCTCTGAGCTCTTGGGTGTCCGTAGCTGTCAGGTTTTTCTGCTGGGATGTAGGAGGTGGGTGGGGACTCGGGCCTCTGCGGCCCAAGGGAGGACATGGGTCCACTGCTGTGGATGGTTCCACGCAGAGACTCAGAAGCACCTCTGCCTTCAGGAGGAATGCGGGGCCGGTCCCTGAACCCTGCGACCATTTACCCAGTATGGCCGAAGCTCCGGGCCCTCCTGCCCTTGTCCTGTCAGAAGCGGCTCCACTGTGGGAGCTACAGCCAGGTAGTACCTGCTGTCCAAGTGACCCCTCCCTGCCCTTCTCCGCAGATGCTGACCCTCCAGGTTCCCTTCCACCCCTTTTCTCTCCCCCTTCCCTCGGTGCCCCTCTCTCTCAGGATCAGCTAAACCTGGACTGTCCCACATGGCTGTCTCAGCTTCTACCCATAGGGGATGCACTGGCTTGCGGGATAGAAGGATCTCAGGGCTCAGAGGAGATCAGCCCCAGTCTGGGCTGGTCAGCTGCCCTCCCCTTGCTGCGCTCCCCACTGTGCTGTCTAGCAGGGACCTTTTCTATGTGAATCCCATCACCATCTGTAGTTCATATTTACCAGCTCCACCCTCCTTTGCTCTGTGTTTGTAGAACCACCTCATAGATGGTGAGCTGTTTTCCAAGAAGCTGAGGAATGGTGTGCTGGGGGACAGCAGAGACAAGGAGGCCATGGCCCTGGATGGCACTGCCCCTCAGGGGAACAACCCCACCTGCGTCCTCCATGAGACCTCCCTGTGATGTTGACTCAGGACCCCGCCTCTGTCCTCACTGTGCCAGGCCGTAGCCAGAGGTCACCCTGTAGTACAGTGATGAGTCTTGGTGTGTTCTGCAGGGACAGGCCTGGATGACCTAGCTCATACCAAAAGACCTTGTTCTTAGAGGTTCTCGCCGGCAGTAGAAGCTGTTACATCTCAAGCATGTGAGGCACTGTTTCCCTCCTCGCCTGCCAATCTGTTTTCTAAAGGACCAGGCTTGGAGGGAGCAGGATCATGTCAGAAATAAGGATAGAAGTGCATCCTCTGGGGAAAAGATAATGGCTTCTGATTCAACATAGCCAGAGTTCTTTGAAATGGCTAGAAACAGTACTCCTGTCATAACTGCCCCAGGGCCCAATTCAAGACTAACCGTCTCCACTGTGAAACTGGAAGCTGCGTCCCCTGTAGTCCACATCTCAGCACCAGTTCTGCCAGCCACAGTGGGCCCCTGTGATTACTTTCAGATAGCCTGTGACACTCAAGCCCCTCTCATTCTTATCTGTCTACCTCTTGTGAAGAGGGAGGTTTTGGTGTCCCTGGGTCTCTGGAAATAGAAGATCCATTTGTCTCCTTTGTGTAGAGCAGGCAAGTTTTCTGCCTCACTGCCTCCATCCTCCACCTCTGAGATGGACACTTAGAGACGAGGTAAATGTGGATCCCAGAAACCAGGGCCATGACTGGGTCCACTGTAGAACAGCCGTCTATTTACCCGACTCCTGGGCCAGGCCACTATGGTGTCATTTCTGTCATCTCTGCCTGGTTTCCTTTTGGAGTTTCTTCCCCACATATTGTTCCTGAGGAATAAAAACTACCATTGGACCTAAAATTTGGGCTCCTGTACTCTCTCCGCCTGCTCTTGTCCACCCTGTTGCATCCCCTGGATAAGGAGTCCCATCCCACGTACAGGACACCTTCCCGTGCTGAGGAGGGGGGCTGCTGTCAGGGATAGCATTGTGCTCACCAGGGTGGAAGATACACACTCTCTCCTAAGGTTTCTCATCCCCTGGGGCTTACTTAGTCTATTCCTTCTCTGGCTCCATTTTCTCTTTGCCAGAACAATCTTTTGCTCTCAGGTTTTTACTTTTGGAACTGGTGGAAGAATGTTCCCATATGATTTTAGAAATGGAACATTCTGGCTGGACTTTTACGGTCTTATGAAGAACAGCATGCTCATACCCTCCCACACCTGGCCTGTGCTCCTGCCTGGCCCTGTCCAGCTGCCCACATCAGCTCTGCACAAGCTCTCCAGGGTCTCCTAGCAGAGACCCGGTCCCAGGCATATCTGAGTTTAGCCTTACCTGAGGCCTTCTCCTGGAGCTTCTAGAGCACATTCTAGCTGTTCTCACATTCAGTGCAGCTCAGGCCTGGGATGTTCTGTGTCCCTTTTTCTACCTCTACCCCATCTCACTCAGTCACACCCCAGCCCCTTTCACCTCTGCCCTGGCCAGCCCTGTGGAGGAACAGGGCCCGGCTGTGCCAAGAGTCCAGACACTAGCCACTCCCAACCTGCCCAGTCTGTATTTATATTCATGACGATAATGATGTCTCCTAATGGATCTAAAACCTGCTGCCCTGAATTTTTTTTTTTCCATTCCACAAGGCTCTGGTCTTGAACATGGACATTCCTTCTCAGTATGGACTTTAGATATCTGGTCATGATCTATTCTAGGTCTAGGAAGGTACTTTGACCGGCCAAAGATATGTCCACTGAATTTACCATATTTCACACGTCTGAGTGGTACAGGGAGAATTGGGAGAATGATATACCCAGGGTTTAATTTGCCAAATTAGGGCAGAAGTGAGTCTATGTGAGAGGACATGAAAACATTTTACTAGGGGCCTCTGGCCTCAGGCCTATTTTGTTTTGTGAATTAAAAACTCAATGATGGAAAGTTGAGAAGCCTATAATTATCGTTTAGAAAAGAATCCTTTGGGAGACAGGCAAGAGGATTGCTTGAGGCCAGGAGTTCCAGACTAGCCCTGGCAACATAACCAGATGCCGTCTCTACAAAAACAAAAATTAGCCTAGCCCGCATGCTGGCATGTACCTGAGTCCCAGCCACTTGGGAGGTTGAGGTGGGAGGATTGCTTGAGCCCAGGAGGTTGAGGTTGCAGTGAGCCAAGATTGTACCACTGCATTCCAGCCTGGGCAACAGAGTAAGACCTTTAAAAGAAAAAAAAATCCCTTTTCTTTCATAGATTGTTTTTGGGGAATGTAATTGAATCTATCATGCCAGGGTCCCAAATTCAAGCCTTATTTGTTTCCCGATTCAGGTGCCCTAGTAGAGCTGCTTCTAGGACAAGGTCTCACCAACATAGGCAACAGGAACTGAGAATGTCTATGAAAACTAGAAGTGGACAATTTGTAGCTCAAGCCCTACAGGAAGGTGAGACTGAGGATTGTATGTCATCAAGAACTGTTGAGGGAATGGGATCTTGTCTGGATTCTTGGGGCCTGACCTCTGAACTCATTTCCTGGCCAAGCCAGTGTGTGTAGGAGAGTTGAGAGCAGGATACCCCTCACTGCTGCCCTTGGTCCAGGGTTTTAGCATAAAAAAATACATTGGTCATATCTGCAAACACTAGGATTGTAAAGTGAGTAATGCTCACAACTGCACTCTCTAATTCCTCCAAGAATTGTGCACCCTTCTGGTAGAAGTGAGGAGAGTCCCAGAACATGCCATGTTGACTCTGCCCAGAGGTCTGCCCTCCTCTCTGTAGTCCCTCCCCCTGGGACCCAAGGGCACTGTTTCTTGGCTAACAACCTCACCCACCCTACCAATCTGCCAAAAGTTCTAGACCTAACTGGGCCCTCATTTGTTCAGTATATTTATCAATC